GATTTTATAAAAAAAGCATAAAATATATGAACACATTAATGGTTTTAAACTTTATTTTGATATATTATATTTTTTGTCATTCATTAATAACTGTTACACATTCTAAACTATTTGGACATTGGATTACAATAAATCATTTCTAATTTATGTTTTATTCATGGTTCTTAGAATTGTTTTTGTTAAAAATTATAGAGTACTAGGTTCATATATGGACATATTTTTTTCATTACATAATTATATTTTTCTTCCATAAAAAAACAAATGATTAAATACAATCATCAAGTATAAAATTATTTCTTATTGTTACTTAATAATATATTATAATAAATTAATATGTATATTTATTCGTTATTATTAGATGAACAAAAATAGCCATTAACCAAAGAATGAATGATTAATTGTAAATTCTTTTATTTTACAGAATCCACAAAATTTAAAAAAATCACAAATTAAACGTGCATATCTTTAAATATAGAATATTTTAGTTACATTGTTCAAAGAATATTAGAACTAGTAACGTTAGCATTCGTCTTGTCTAAAAATTATTTCACCATGATACGGATATTATACACTTTAATAAAAATATGCACAGAAATATAAAATATTTTACAGAAGAAATGTTTTTATTAATTAAACTCTATCTCTATATTTTTAATTATAATAGAATAATTATAAATGACATTAAAAAAAATATTTTATTGAAAGCACTTACGTTTTAAAAAATATGTATTATTTGTTAAAGGTTATAATTATACTCATTACTAAGTAATAGCTTCATATATACATAAAAAAAAGGTTTTTTGTAAATTTTTAATTATAAATATATATTTTTTCTGATTAGGAAAATATAAATTTAGAAGTAGTTTTATTAGCTTATATAATATAAATTAAAATAACATAAAAATAAAGAAAATTTATATATTTTCTAATAAATTAATTATGATAGTATACATATTACAAAGTATTTTATAATTTATCTAATGTAGTGAATTAGCATATTATAATTAATTAAAATAACGTATGAATCATAGTTCTCAAATATAATATGGATATGGAAAAAAAATTAATAAATCCTAAGAAAACAAAATTTTTTTTTTTTTTTTCAAATGCATTAAATTTATAGCGTCAAGAGAAATAGGAATACCATTTTTTACTAATGTATACAATTATATACCTAGTAATATAAATTATATAAATGAAATTCCAATATTTATATATTTCACAAAATAAAAAAAATATAATATTTAATTTAATCAATAGTATTTATGACTATTTCCTTGATAAATATTTTTCATACAGAATATAGATTATATGTGTTAAGTATACACTATTATATATATTATTGACAATTCAAATAATTTATTTAACACTCATAGTGTAAATATCTTTTAATGATTAAATTATATATCGTTATATAAAATATACTACGAACAATTATGAATCCATATTTCAGAGTTCATAACGATATAAAGATCACATATGATAAAATATTATAAAAATAGACAAAATCCTTAAAATAAAATACATAATTCTACATAGCTATATATATCTTCATATGAATTTTCCTAGTAATTTTTTAATATATAATGAAATACGTAGCTAAATATATAACTATGTTTTGTATATGGATATCACTTTTTAACATTCCTTAATAATGAAAAGGCATATAGCGGTAGACTTTTTATACAATTAAAAATATTACTTATGTTAAAATATCATATTTGTTCTTAAAAAAATAATTTTATCTTTTTGCAAATAAAAAGTACATATTTTAACATTTGTATTAAATTAATAGGATAATGAACTCAATGAATTACCTACAAAAAAGATGTACAATATATTTATTAAAGAAGCTAATACTTCCAACTGTCCTTCTATTGAACAAAAAGTAAAGACACTTGAAAAAAGTAATCCTGGGTTTCATAAGGTTTCTGACAGAATACATAAAGCTTTATGTTATGTTTATAAACAAAATGAGGAAAATAAATTTGTTATCGCTAATTGTGATTATCTGTACTTTTGGTTAGCTGATCTAGTATATAGTAATTTAGTAAATAGAAAATCGTCTTACACTGTTATGAATTCGATAAAACATTTTCTGCAAAATAGTAAGGGTCAGGACATATGTAAATATGATAAATATAATAATAATTATATAAATGAAAATAATTTTATGGACATTAAAACATTATTTGATTATACAAAAGACTATGATCGCATCAAAAATGATTTATACCGGTATTCTTCGTACTGTAATCGTGAATATAAGGATCTTCTTGATAAATATAAGTCAGCACATAATACGATATGCAATACGTGCGAAACGAAAAGTAAACAGCATTCATATTGCAAAGATTTTAATGAATTTTTAACAGGAAAAAAGAAATTTGAATTAACTACCCCGGCATGTACGGTACAGATAAGTGCCCATGAACTTGAACAAATGCACAATGAACAAAAAAAGTCGAGAGAACATAATAAGAATCAAGCGGATTATCCTCATGGAGATATAAATAAATCAGATTATATAACTTCAAATAATCCTTCAGCTAC